TAGCGCTCACTTCTCATCAAAGAAACTTCTGTTTGCAACAGATAGAGACCATTATAGAAAACCATAATCAATCAAAATACAGATAACAAGAGGTCATGTGGACCCCAGACCCAGAAACACACACACACACACACACACACACACACACACACACACACACACACACACACATGAAATATATACAAATTAATAACAAATAATTTTTTTAAAATATATTGGAATGTTTCTTGGAATTTATGCTTGTGATCCTCCCCAATAGCCTTACCCTCCTTCTCTAGCAAAAGTAACTATTCTAAATCTTACATTTATCATTCTCTTATTTGTCATTTGCTATCATAAAGAGATATAAATAAATGATAGATGGTAGATAGATGGGTGATAGATGATAAAAAAAAGGTGCTTGTTTTGCTCATTCTTACACTTTCTGAAAGAAATAATTCTTGAAATTCTTGCTGCTATATACTACATAATCTTCTAACTTACCCTTTGCCTGAATATTATGCTTACAAGATCCTTTTATGTTTATTTAAAAAGATTAATTATTTTCACCTACCATTGTGTTGACTAATTCTATTATTAGATATATGTGTTATTTATATAGCTGTATTTTTCCCTCTCACAAATAATGCTGTTTAAGTCGTGTAGATTGGCAAGGGTTTCTATAACTAAGATCTTCTGACTTCAAATTAAGCAGAAATCCCTCACAGGTGTGCCCTCTATTTTTGGAATTTCGTTAACTCCAGATGTAGTCAAGTTGAAAACCAAAAATAGCTATCACAAGTCCACCACTTGTCATCTTGACACACAATTATATCTCCTTATGTTGTGAGTAATTTCCAAATGAAATGAAAACAATAACCAGGTCATAATAATGCCTAAACATAACTATCACATATAATCACAAACACATATTTAACCAGGGCATAATTATGCTTAACATGATATTACTATCCTTCATACAATCACAAATGCATTATAAATTTAGAATAGATGACAATGTCCACTGAGGGGACATTCTTATTTATTTATTTATTTACTTACTTACTTACTTACTTACTTACTTACTTACTTACTTACTTACTTATTTTGGGTTTTTTAGAGACAGGGTTTCTCTCTGTAACAGTCTTGGCTGTCCTGGCTCTCACTTTGTAGACCAGGATGGCCTTGAACTCACTGAGATCCACCTGCCTCTGCCTTCCAAGTTCTGGGATTAAAGGTGTGTGCCACCACCGCCCAGCAAGGGACATTCTTCTAGTTTCTCAAACTTAAATATGATAACCATGTTCTGTTAATTGATGCCACATCACATGATGAAGAAAATGAGAAATAAAAACACAAATATCTGTACAAATGCATTCTTAACATAATACAACAAAAACACTCATGTCCATTATAATTCTCATTTCTGCAACTGGTCACATGGCCTTAAATTACATTTAGAACTACCTTCCTCTACTACCCATTCTGTATTTTCTCCACCCTCTTCAAGCACGTCAGCAGGTCTTGGCTCTTTTCCTTGAAGACTGACCCATACCTTCAGTCCCAATGGGTCTGCGGCCTTTTCATCCTACAGTGATCAGGCTGTTGCAGTTTCCTGTTGACCCTAATTACAGGTCATGGTGGCACCAAGAGATGCCCTAAAACATCTACTGCACCTCAGACATAAACTTTCTTACCTCCACTGTGGAGAGGCAATCCAATTTCCCCACTCTGAATCAACCCTTCTAACACTGTTATTCCTTTCTTAGCCTATTGGCTTAAGGGTGTCAGAAGCCCAAAGTGGCCAGAGAAAAGTTTAATTTCCAGCTCGACAGAATGTTTGTTGTGACTCCTGGCAGGAGTGCTCCCCACTCTGGAGCCAAAACTTCTAGGACAGAAAAGCTTAAGGTCACGGTAACAGGAAACAACACCTTTCCTAGTGGAACACTTGGGGTGATAGTGAGTGGAACTATCCCCATTTCCACCCTTTGTCTCCTGGATCCATGGATCCTGGCTGCAGGAGAAAACATAACATATGTTGGATGCTGGTTTGAAGCATATACCACTTTCCGGAGAAATCTGTCCCAACACCCCAGGTTGCTGCCACCTAATTGACACCATAACTGTGTCTTCAAAAGGCCATTCTATAAGTGCACAGACAGTGGTTTTGGCAGCAGCATTACATGCAGGAAAGGCAAATCCATAACCACAATAAGCATCTACTCCAGTAAGGACAAAGCACTGTCCTTTCACGGAGGAAGTGGTCCAGGGTAGTCAATTTGCCACCAGGTTGCTGGCTGGTCACCTTGGGGAATGGTGTCATATCTGGGGCTCAGTGTTGGCCTCTGCTGTTGTTAGATCTGGCACTCAGCAGCAGCTCTAGCCAGGTCAGCCTTAGTGAGCGGAAGTCCATGTTATAAGTCTATGTAGAATCCCCATCTCTGCCACCATAGCCACTTTGTTCATGGGCCCGTTGGATAATGATGGAAAAGTTGGGAAAAGAGGCTGACTATTCACAGAACAGGTCATCCTTCTATTTGATTATTGAACTCCTCAGCTAAAGTCACTCTTTGATGAAAATTTACATGGGACACAGGTATCTTCACATTGTTGGCCCCTTTGTAATAATCTATCCACGTATTTCTTCTCAAGATGTCTTTCTCATTATTTTCGAATCAAGCTCTTTTCAAGTTGTTGACCATCCAGCCAATCCATTGGCTACAGCCCATGAGTTAGCAAGCATTCTCACATCCTGCTGTTTCTCCTTCCAAACAAAATGTATGATCATATGCACTGCCTGCAGTTCTGCCCACTGTGAAGATTTCCCTTGACTAGTGTCTTTCAGGGTTACCCCAAAAAGGGGTTGAAATGTTGCAGCTGTCCACTTTCGGGTGGTGCCTGAGTAACATGCCTAACCATCAGTAAACCAGAGCCTAGTCTTCTCTTCCTCAGTCAACTGATGACAGGGCCCACCCCATGAGGCTACAGGTGCATAGTTTGCAGAAGATGGCATTGTAATGGAAGTAGAAACCATAGGCATCTGGACAACTTCATATAACTCGTTTGTGCCTTGAGGACCTACTCAGGCCCCATCATGTACATACCACTTTCATTTGATAATAGATTACTGCTCTGCACATCCTACTTCATGACTTGGTGGGCCAAATAACACCCCAGCTTATGATGAGCAGGTCAGGTTATGTTGCATGGTAACTTGATGGCCCATTGTCAAATGTCCAGTTTCCACTAAGCCCCACTAGCAAGTTAAGAGCTGTCTTTCAAAGGGAGAATAGTTGTCTATGTGTTGTGGTAGAGCTTTGCCCCCAAATCCCAAAAGTCTCTTCTGTGATTCACCTATAGCACTTGCCAAAGGCTCCAAATAACATCCCTATCAGCCCCTGAAACCTCAAGTAACATCAGATCTACTGGGCATGTGGTCCAAATGTTAGGTAGCCTGCAGACAGCCTGGATCTATTGAAGAGCCTTCTCCTATTCCAGCCCAGATGCAAAGTTAACAGCTTTCTAATTCACTTGGTATATGGGTTAGAGCAACATACCCAAGTGAGAAATGTGCTGTCTCCAGATTCCAAATAGAACTAATAAATGTGTTTCTTTTTTGGTGGTGGGAAGGGCCAGGTGCAATAGCTTATGCTTCACCTTAGAAGGAATATCTCTGCATGCCCCATATCAATGGACTCCTAAGAATTTCACCAAGGTAAAAGGCCCTTGAATTTCAGTTGGATTTGTTTTCCATCTTCTGATGTACATATGTGTTACCAATGAGTTTAAAGTAGTTGCTACTTGGTCCAATCAGTATAATGTCATCAATATAGTGCACCAGTGTGATATTTTGTGGAAGAGACAGACAATCAAGATCCCTTCTAACTAAGTTATGGCAGAGGGATGAAGAGTTAATATGTCCTTGAGGTAAAACTGTGAAGGTATACTGCTGGCCTTGTCAACTGAAAGCAAATTGCTTTGCTTCTGGTCCTTATGGACATGTACTGAGAAAAGGGCATTTGTTACATCAGTAGTTATATATATATGTTAATTTATGTGTTAATTTGCTCAAGCAAGGACACCACATCTGGCACAACAACTGCAATCAGTATCACTACCTGGTTGAGTATTCAGTAGTTAACTGTCATTCTCCATGATCCATCTGTCTTCTGCAATGGCCAGATAGAAGAGTTAAAGGGAGATGTGACTGGAACCACCACCCCTACATCTTTTATGTCCCTGATGGTTGCACTAATTTATGCAGTTCCTCTAGGGATGCAATACTGGTTTTGGTTCACTATTTTCCTTAGTAGAGGCAACTCTAAAGGGTTCCTCTTAGACTTTCCAACCATAATAGCCCTCATGCTACAGGATTAAAGATGTTTCTACCTACCTCAAAGATCTGGATTATCAGTAGATTTTCCCACTTCAAATTAAGCAGAAATCCCTCACAGGTGTGCCCTCTATGGGGGGGGGGGAATTCATCATTGTAGAATATTATTTTAAGGTGTGTTACTTTTGTTTATGTTGCATTTGTTTAACTCTGTAAAGCTGTATTACTGTGCCTGTCTAAATCACCTGACTGGTCTAATAAAGGACTGAATGGCCAATAGCAAGGCAGGAGGAAGAAGTAGGCAGGGCTGGCAGGCAGAGAGAATATATAGAAGGAGAAATATTGGAAAAAAGGAATAGTCAGAGAAGGAGTAAGTCGGCAGCAGTAAGTTTGCTGCCTTAATTTTAAATGCCCTTTTTTGTCCTGTCCCAGTTAAGTTGTTTGTGTGAAAAATGTACAGTGGGTTCCGAAGGGTGCTGGGGATCAGTTCCCCTGTGGTTTTTCCTGTTTGGAAAACAGTGTCCAGCTTGCCTACGGATACAGAGTAACCATTCCTTGACTCCTGCTGTTAGAGGGGTATATAAGCCCATGTTGGTAAGAATAAAGAGAGCTGCTTCCCTGACAAATGGAAACTGGGTGTCTAGAGCACTGTTTAACCTCAGCGTCCCTCGACAGATTTCATGTTCCAGCTGTGCAGGCTGCAGCAAGTGGAGGTCACCACTGGGACCTGGAAAGAGGGGTAAGTGAAGGAGGCTCACCTTCACAAAGGAAGGGGGAGGATTGGATGTAACAGACTAAAATAGGGTACATACCATGGGTAATTCTACTGCAAAAGCTCAGTTGGCCACTGAGGAACAGGAATTAAGTTAAGTAAGCAAGGAACAGGAATTAAGTTAAGTAAGCAAAGAACAGGAATTAAGTCTAGCACCACACTCACATTTGTGGACACCATAGCTGAAGCAAGTCCTTGGTTTCTGACGGGAGGAGGTCTGAATATTAAAAGGAGATTTACAAAAAAATGTTGCAAGAGAAGGGCGCGGATAAATTTCCTCTGACTGATAAAGTGAAAGTGAAAGAGCAACTTTCAGAGTGCGAGCAAGCATTTGCTAACACTCAGGAGGCAGAGATGAATGAATCTTTAAAAGGGGAAAAGGAAGAGGTCGAGGTCCCCTGTAAAGAGCATATAAGGATATTTGTGAAAGCTTTAATGGGTGAGGAAGAAGACGATGATCTTGCCTCTGTCTCAGATTTAGTAGAGGAGGAAGAGCAGCTAGAAAAAGAGATAGAGGAACTACAACAGAAATTGCACCGTGCAAAAGTATATTGGCAAAAAAAAGGGGGGGGGTGGCATGAAACATATCCAGTCACTGAAACTCAGAATCAAGCTGGACAGGTGGTCCAGGAGCATGTTCCTTTAACTTTAAAAGATGATGCCTCAGGGAGAAGCTGAGCCATTATGGAGTTTAGTAAGAAATCCACCTGTGTTACTACCTGTGAGTATTGATAGCCCTGTTTTTCCTGCTGTATTTTCTTCTAATTGGACAATTGGTACTGCTGCTAGCAACATAAAACTCCAAGAAGGTTTTGTAAATATTACTTTGCAGTTAAAAAAAAATGCTCTTGTTTTGAGAAAAATAGTACAGCTGGCAAGAATAATACCAATGATATCTCCTTGAATCTGAAAGGAAGCTTTCATGATTGCCTAGTTCTGAGTAATACTTCTTTGGCAGACTTTGTAGGTAGTTCCAGCATGTCCCATGCTGTGGGTCTCCAAGTGCTCCTTTCCCTTTTGTTGTTTGGAATGGTGATGTGGGAGGGGAGGGACTACTAAACTGTTCAGTTCTAAATTGTAGCTTGAATAATTGCTGGAGTGCAAATTGGTCCCATGCAGTGATTGTGAGAATACCTGCATTTGCAGTGATGCCTCATTTTCAGAGAGTCCTTCTGATCAGTTTCCGTTGCAACTGAAGAGGACAAAAAGAGACTTTGGCATTACTACCACAATTGTTGCAGCTGTGGCTGCATCTGCTGTTGCTGCTATAGCTGCTGAGCTTGCATTATCTCAGACTGTTCAACAGACTGCCATTATCAACACATTATCTGAGAGGGTGGCTGGTGCCTTTGACATTCAGCGAACATTGAGGGACAATTACACTTTGGAATTCTGATGTTTAATCAGCAAGTAGCACTGTTACAAGAACAAATAGATATGTTGTGGATACACCAACATATATTATGTGCTTATGGAATGTCAGAAGTTTATATAACCCCTCATGCAGCTTTTGATGCATCGGCCAAGGTTGCAGAATTGAATGCTTTTTTGTGAGCGCCTTGGAATGGAACATTTTGAACTATGCAATTCAGTTAGTGCATGCTATTGTAAGGATTAATGAAACTAGAGTTGTTCCTGTAAATGAGCAGACCTGATGGTAATTAATGTCTAAAGCTACTGGGTGGATTACTAGATGGGCAGGGTCTGTTTCCCTCCTATTAATCTGTGCAGGCGGTATGGGAATTGGGTTATTTCTGCTATGCCAATGGCAACGCCAGTTCACTCGACACTGACAGGTAACCAAGCAAGCTCTTCTGGCCATGTCACCCTATGAATCTGCACAAGTGTGGTTACAAATGTTGGACAGATAGTACCCAGAGACGGGCAACTCCTGTGGTCCTCATGTGACCTAAGGCAGGGGGCATAAGGGCAGCCCATGTGACGGGTAAGTTTGGGGATTGCAAACTTAAGACAGGGGCTATCTGATCTTACACCGGCTATTCTAGCCAATGTGTTCCTTTTGGAAATAAAAAGGGAGGACATGTTGGCAGCAGTAAGTTTGCTGCCTTAATTTTAAATGCCCGTTTTTGTCCTGTCCCAGTTAAGTTGTTTGTGTGAAAAATGTGCAGTTGGGTTCTGAAGGGTACTAGGGATCAGTTCCCCTATGGTTTTTCCTGTTTGGAAAACAGTGTCTGGCTTGCCTACGGATACAGAGTAACCATTCCTTGACTCCTGCTTTTAGAGGGGTATATAAGCCCATATTGGTAAGAATAAAGAGAGGTGCTTCCCCGACAAATGGAAACTGGGTGTCTAGAGCACTGTTTAACCTCGGCGTCCCTCGCCAGATTTCGTGCTCCAGCTGCACGGGCCGCAGCAGAGAAGAACTTCAGGGGCCAGCCACCCAGCTACACAGCAAGACATGGAATAAGAGTCAGATTTACAGAAGTAAGAGAACAGGAAAAACCCAGTGGCAAAAGGAAGACAGGATAATTTAAAGAAAGCTGGAAAGAAACAAGCCAAGCTAAGGCCAGGCATTCATAAGTAAGAATAATTTATTTGGTAAGTGTAATTTATTTGGGAGCTGGGTGGCAGGTCCCCAAAAGAACAAAAACAAACAACATTTAATTCCAGATATAGTCAAGTTGACAACCAAGAATAGCCATCACATATGAAATTATGCCTCTGGAGTTAAAGAGACAGCTCAGTGGTTGAGAGCACTCATTACTCCTCTAGAGGACCTGAGCTTGCTTCCAACACCTACATTGCACCATCAGCTCATAACTGACATTGTGAGATTGCAGCCTGAGAATCTACCTGTACTCATTTGCACATACTCACAGAGTTATACACATAAGTATATAATAAATATGCTTATATAATAAATAAATAAAAATAAATATTAAAGATAGAAAGTTTACTTTGGATCAGTCACCAGGCTTGTATATTCAGGCTTGTATTGAGGGTGGGGGCTGAAATGGGGGGTCTCACTTTGTAGTCCAGGTTGGCCTGGAACTTATTAATAAGAATTCACTATGTAACCCAGGCTGCCCTTAAAATCATCACAGTCCTCGTGGTTCAGCCTCCCAGATACTGGGATTCCAGGCAGGAGCCACCTAATCTAGCTTTCCATTTTCCTAAAATAATTCTATAGTATTTCCAGAGTCATTGAGTTGATGCCCTGTTAGCATTGGTTGAGTGTTCCTATTGTTCTGCAGCCTATTTTGTATCAGACTTACTTGAACCAGGGAATTTTCACTGGGTTTCATGGACTCATTTTAAAGGTATTACTGAAACAGACAGTCACATACATCTGTACTTCCAACACTTGGGATGTTAGAGAAAGAGAATCAGGAATCCAAGACTAGCCTTAGCTATATGGCAAACTCAAGCCTAGACTGGGTACATAAAAGACTATCTCAGAAAAAAAAGAAGAAGAAAAAAAAGAAAAAAACCCTGTCTCTAGAGTTAGACAGACATTTCTAGAGACCAGCTGCATGTTACAGATGTATCGTTCGATTGTATTTAATTCTCACAATCTTCAATAAGGAAGAATTTTACAATTAAAAAATAATTTCAGAGGGAATGCTTACTGACTACTTTACAAATACCAAGTGCCCTGACTACAGGATTCTGACTATTCAATTATATCCACAAAAATTTCCAAAGTTGAGTATGTGAAGTCCTAGGCCACATTACACAAGTTCAACTTTACTATTTAAAAAATTCTGAGGACTAAACAAGAGTGGGAAACTGCCATCCATTTTAGCTATATATGATGGACTGTTGACAAAGAAGAAATCCATTTTTAATGCCCCAGCATGTCATTAGGGAAGCAAGCTGACTGAGTGAACTGAACCTGGCATTTATCATGGAGCCAAGATAAAAAGCCACTGAGTTGTGGTATTCTATGACCTTCTTCCTGACAGCCACTGACAATGTATCCAATTACTTAAGCAGTCATTTCGGCATCATTTAAGTAGGTCTTGCTTTTCCTATGCTAGTTTAATGAAGAAAAACACAGGGGATTTTCTCATAGTACTATCCAAAATGCATTTCTCTAAATTCGATGATCTCCAGATGCCTCTGTACTTGACAGTCCATTTTTTACCTTACGACCATGAAAATGAGACGACGATTAATAATCCATTTCATATGTAATCATAAAACTGATACCTGCTTCACACTTCTTGCCCCTTGAGATTTCAGCACAGGTAGTAAAAATAAGACATCATGCACAGGGTAAAAAACCATTCGCCCAAACTAAGTCTCTACCTCATCAAATAGTACTCAGAGAGGTAGTGTTGAAGATACCATAAGGTACCTTAAAGTGTAAGAGAGAATTGCTCTCTGTTCTGCCTAGGTAATGCCATAAGCAGCCACTGACAAATGACTGTTCCCTGTGAACAAGAAATGACCAGTCTCTGGCTATTAGCTTGCACAAAGGCTCAAATCAAAGCCTGGGTCCACTAACTCTTCTCCTCACTGGACCATCTAAGGCTGTGTGATTAGGGAAATGTCTTCACTGAGACAGCGATTGCTGAATGAATCCTTAAAGAAACACTAGACAGGGCGAATATGAATTTGCTGTTGAGACACTGTAGTATATGTCAGTATAATTCTCCATGAAATGCTGATATTACAAAAATGATGTTTGTTGTCAGTAAAAATCAAATAAGCTGATCACAAAATTCTATACACAAAAAAAAAAAAGTTCTTTGCTATCCAGTGCCACATCCCCTAAAAATCTATTATTTGGCATATCTGTAAAATAAGTATTAAAAGCCTGACTAACATCTCCAAAACCCTCTGTCATGGAACATTCTAGACTGAGAATTGTCAGTGTTATATATAGTACTAGGGACATTGGTTTTTTTATGAGTTTAAACTTTAATGTATAAATAGAAGAAATGACTAAAAAAATAATGTAAATTTGCTTTAGAGAAAGGTGCATGGACAAAATCTTGAGTTTCTAAAATAGTTGATCTTCCCAATATCTTTTAGGGGAAGACATACAATTTTTCAAATTCTCTACTACATGAAATTATTTGAGGAAAAATAATTAGTTTCCTGAAAAAATGAGGGAAACAATTGAGGAAATGAATTAACCAAAATCTGATCAGTTTTCTTGATCTGTAGGAAGACAGAGACCTAGAAACTATAACTAACTTGTTACCACATAGTAAGAGAAAATGGAAGCAACCAATTTCAGGAAAGAAGGATCACTATTTATACAGTTCCTATATGCATTTAAAAAAAAGACAAATGAATATTACAAACTACTGGTGTGGTCATAAATTTTGTGCCTTGGATAAGTGAACAAACTCTTTGAGTTCAGATAACCTAATGTCACATGGGGGGGGCAGGAAAGCTAAAGGGCTCTATACTGACCATAGAAACTAAATTTATGGAAATACTTTGCCACAAAAAAACTATGACCCATAAAGAAACGTAACACATATAAAAGCAACAATACTAACACCAGTTCTATACAAACTTTTCCAGAAAGTGAAAAGAAGCATTACCCTGAAGAAACCAAATTAGACCATGCTAATAGTGAATTTATACATTTTATACATATATATATATATACATATATACATACACACACACACACACACACACACACACACACATATGTTGGTTTTTCAGGACAGGGATTCTCTGTGTAGTTTCGGTGCCTGTCCTGGATCTCGCTCTTTAAACCAGGCTGACCTCGAACTCACTGAGATCCACCTGGCTCTGCCTCCTGTGTGCTGGGATTAAAGATGAGCACCACTGCCACCCGGTAAATCTAATAATTTTTACTTTAAGAAAAAATACAATCTGATAAAATATAGTTGTTCTAATGTAAAGATAATTCATCATCAGAAAAGAAAACAATCTTCTCAGTTAGTATACACAACACATTTAACAAGATTCCACACTGAGTGTTGTGTAGTTATTTGCTCAAAATTAAAACGTTCCCTCCTGGAAGAAAGAAGGACCCTGTACACTGAGATAGCTCAGGAAACTTACTGGGGGCAGGAAGCTGACAAAACTTAGAAGACTCAGAAGGATATTTTCCACGCATGTATAGCCAAGTTTCAAATATCTTTAGGCAGTGTCCATGTCAATTATTCATACAGTTTTCAAATTAACTTTGT